TAGTTGACATTCTACTTTAAGAAAAAGCGTTTACTTCTCCCTTACTTATCTATTTTGGCCTGGCTCGTGAATTCCTATTTTATTCAATACATATAGACTTTGTCTTTTTCCCCATTTTCTTTATATTGGAATAAATTTATACCTACAAAAAATTTTTAAATTGTATACATTTTCCATACTTTCTTTACCCTCAACCCCCTAATGTTGACATTTTGCACAATAATAGCAGAGATTAAAACTAACAAGTTATTGTTGGTACAATAGCATTTACTAATCTCCAGACCTTATTTGAATCTTACCAAGTTTTTCATTCATGTCTCTTTTCTTTTTCAGGATCTATTATTACTTAATGATTAAATTGTCCCTAATTTGACCAGAAGGAACCTCTCCAAGCTGGCTTTTTATTTTTTTTAACATATCCCTGTCAGTTTTTTGAGTATTTTCCTTCATTCGGGCACAATAATATATACCAGGCTTATCTTATACATTCATAGCCAACTCTGGGTTATCTGTGTATCCAGTGATCTCTTGTTGTGTTGGTGGAAAGTGATATTTAGGAACCACATTCTGAGTATTCAGTATGCTCATTGCTGTGTGTGTATGTATGATTGCTTACATGCATTTATATATACGTACATGTCTTTTTTTATCTACTTATCTATTAAAAATCATAGGTTTATGCTATACCTTTGATTCTAATTTAATACCACAGGAGTTACTTTAATCTCCCCACCCCACAATGGTAACTATCTTCGACAACAGTGAGAAACTTTGCTCCCAACATCTTCAATTATTTACTACATTTTCCCTTATGTAAACTGTCTCCCAGCCCTACTCAAGCCAAACCTTGGTTCTCCAACCTCCCTGGCCTCCCCATATCCAAATCCCTAGCCCCCAAAAAAAGAGAAGGGGAAGGGGTGCCTATTAGTGTGAGGACTCTTGAATGAACAGTTCTGTAACTTTCTGGGGATTGTAAGCTACTTGACCCTTGCTGACTTCCTGTTTCTCTTGCCACCTTTCTAACTGGCATCTTTGCCCACCTTACTTCCTAATCAGAATATCATTTTTAACAATGCTGACTGCAGATCCACCAGAAGAAATTGGCTTGGTCATTCATGGTTAAGTTCATTCGGCAGTGAGATGGTCCCCCCAACACACTTGTTTTAATCTATCCCTGTACTGATGCCACTCTGCAATAGTCTTTACTTCTAGGACATTTAATTTGTTAGTAGAGCCCCCAATATAATCTCACATGACCTCAAATACTTACACAGTTCTTGGGCACAAACTGAAGCTGCAGGGATGAGAGTAAAAGAAACCACATATCCATGGTATGTTTCTTCAAGCTGAGGAGAAAGTAAATAACAGCAGTAATACCATATGTCTGCTAGCACTTTATAGTTCAGAAATCATATCATCACAGAGTGGATAGAGCTTGGAGTCGGACATACCCAAGTTCAGATTCCAACTTCAATAAATTCTGTGACCTTGGACAAATTATTTTCTATTCTCAGGCTTAGTTTATACATCTATAAAATGGGGATAATAAGGCCTTTTACTCAAAGCTATTTGGAAGATTAAATAAAGTTATACTTAGAAAACATTTAACACAGTGCAGACTAGGCTTGTAGCCTAGTAAAAGAGACAGACCAAAAAAAAAGATTGTGGTACACAGCAATAAGGGAAAAATGTAAAAATGTATGAGTAGGTTGCTGTGGTAATTCAGAAGAAGAGTATAAAAGTCTGACTGAAGATCAAACTTTTCTCATTTGTGTCTTTGACTTCAACCAACTATTTCTCCCCCTTCCCATCCTCTTCCTCATATACATGTGCTGTGCTCACTTCCCTCTATGAATCTGCTACAAAACTTACTCTGTAGCCTTCTCTTATTTTCTTTGTCAAAATCAAATTGTCCATACTGTCTGTACTGCAAAATTAGCATTTTGTTACTGTCTTGAAATCTAAATATTCTAAGTGCAAAGTTCTTAATTTCTCAAGTCTAATAGCAAGGACTGTCCTAACCCATAAGCACCTGGGTCAGGACTTGACACTTTGTAAACTCTTACTGGGTTGTTGTCTTAGGGTATAAAAAAGACCTCTTTGTGATTCTAGTCAGAAGGTCAGACATTGTGTCAGACATCTCTTTCTCCATGAGTCTTGCATGAAGATCTTGCCAAAACTCAGGGTACGTTTGATGCCTGGAAGAAATGATAACCTTTCTTCTTAAAGTTGAATTCATTTATATCTTCTGACAGTCCTTCAGGCATTCCACATAGTAAGGGGTTCAATCAGTATTTGGCTGGATAGGATCATATACTCAAAGCTAATGATCCTGGGATGGGGTTGTATTGTAGCTCAGGGGTAGAGTGCTTGCCTAGCTGTATGAGGCCCTGGGTTCAGTCCCAAGCACCACATAAAACTAAATAAACAAAATAAAGATATTATGTCCATCTACAACTAAAAAAAAAAAATACTTAAAAAAAACCCTAATGATCCTTACCCATTCACATTAGGGTAGCTTTTACTGCTTATTCTATGAAAAAAAAGGTCTCTTCAGTTTCTGATGTCTTGTATGGTATCAAAGCATGCTAATGCAGAGAGTGAAAGAAGGCAGAGCAGGGAAGATTTCCTTGACTATTTATCATGTATACTAGAGAGCAATGTCAAAAGTTACTCAGTGGACTTTCAGCAAAACAACAATCTTTAGAGGTTTTCATGTATAAATTTTCTTTATGCTATATGATCATAATTAATTATAATCTTATTCATCAGGTTGGCTGTGAAATAGGAAGTAGGTGAGTTAAGTCTCCAGCTTTTAGAGGAACAGATGAGTGATTAAAGTAAAAACACTTAAGAGCTCTGGCCCCTGTTTTGGTTGGTACCACTGAGGGAGAGATTAGAATCTCTCCTAAGCAGACTCAAGTGGAATCTTTTGCTTTCTGTTACAGGTTCTCTTCCACTTTAGCAGCCCCATCCCATGTCCACCTTCCCACCATTTCATCCCTATCTCTTTGGAACAAAATGTGGAAGTTGAGCTACTACATATACATCCTCCCAACTAATAGGGAGCTTATGATAACAGACATGAAATGCAGGCTTCTACTTTCAAGCAAGCAGCTTTCACTTTTTGTACCAGCTTCAGCTTATGAGAAGTGACTGGCTAAAATGGTGTCTCAAGGATTCTGGAATTACACTGTTGATCAGTAAAAATAAAACATTGTTAATTAGAATTGCCCACCATGGTCTCAGGGTGGGAGAAACTTGGTGTGTTTTTTGACCATTTGACATCCTTATACTGGAAACTAAAAGTGTTAAAAAGTTAAGTGGAGAGCATGGATGTGGCTCAGTGGTAGGACATTTGACTGGCATATGTGAGGTCCTGGGTTTGATTCCCAGGATCACAAGAAAAAGAAAGAGAAAAAATCTAATGGCAAATGACAGGAATTCCAGTTCAGAGAGGATTGCTGTGACTTGGAATTGCACAGTGAGGCCTGAGCCAAGCTGAAGTGGAAGGAGTGTGCTTTGGCCAGGGAGGCAATAGGCAGAGGCCCAGTTGACAGGGAAGGAGGTGAAGCAGAGGACCTACAGGGTGACTGGCCAGAGTGGAGGTCAACCATGGAAGAGAGGTGGGAGGGTAGATGGAAAAGTAGGGCAAGAAGAGGTTGTGGGGTGGGGTGGTGATCATGGAACTTTCCAAGGTCAATTAATGAGGTTCTTCTCTGCTTTCTGTTACTACAAAGACCTAGCCTAAGCTTGAATCTCTTTGAGGGCAGAGTAGCCACATCTGGATATAGTAAACTTTGAATAACAAAATCACTTGAGTAAAATGTCAATTTTTTCCTATTCCTGCTAATTGATGCTTGTGTGGTTCTTGTCTTTTTCTTCCTATTGTATAAATACATTTTAAAAACACAGCTGGATTCCTTTGGCTTTAGACAGCTGCCTAAAAAGGTGCCACATGTCAAAGAGTGGCAGCCTCCCATTATCCACATAGCACAACCTCATAGAGATCAGTGGTTATAGCCCTGCCGGATTCTAGCTGGTGATGACTTGGGGTGATTGGGGCAAATTCAGGGATGCTTGAATGGGAATGGGGAGACAGATTGCAACCACTATCACCACTGTGGCCTGGGGCTGGCCTGAAGCTGCTTCTACCCATTCTTCTCCTAGGAGTTTCATATATCCTTGATTCTAGAAGTTCTAAGAAAAAATTACAAACTGAATGAAGAAGGAAAGCATTAGTTTTTGTTTGTTTATTTTTAAGTTTATCTTTCTTTAGGCATCCATCCTGTGGACCAATTCAGGTTGATGGTGTCTAAATCTCTGCTGACATCATAACCTTTTTTGTGAAGTAGAGTCTTGAAAAACATAAGGCTTGGAGGCAGACTGCTTGCTTTTGAACTATGGCTTCCCTACTTACTTGCAAATGACCTTGAACAAGGTGCTTAACTTCTCTTTACCTAACTTTTTTTGAAAAGGAAGATAGTACTGTTACCTACTTCAGAAGATTATTATGAAGAATAAATGAAGTTCAGTGAGATGATGCTTATAAATGCTTATGCCATGACATCTGGCACATCATAAGTGTTTAGAAAGTGATCACTATCATTACTCCATGGGGTTTTAATTTGTGGAAAAGGGAATGGTGCTAAATGGTGGTAGGAGTAGTATATTTACTCAAATGGTAGATTTATGAACTCAGTTCTGCCATTGAGTTTGGGATCAAAAGCGATCATGAAATGCTTTGAAAAGTTTGAAGCAGTGCATAGATGCCAAACTCTCTTGCTGCTGTTATTTTAATGGTTATTTAATTTAATCATGATTCCTATTATAGGGTGAATGATGGTGGTAAATGATGACTGATAAAAATGAACCCAATTTTAAATTTCAGAAACATCAGGAATGATTAATTAAGGTAGCAATTTATGTACATTTTGTAAACAAGCACATTTGCTATATCTTTTTGGAAGTGAAATAACATTTTAGTTTCTTCTTCCTAGAAACCTTGGAGAGCTGATTGATAGGTTTGTGGCCGATTTCAAAGCCCAGGGGCCACCTAAGCCCAACACTGATGAGGGGGGCGCTGTGCTCCCCAGCTGTGCTGACCTCTTCGTCTACTACAAGAAGTGCATGGTACAGTGCTCACAGCTCAGTACCGGGGAGCCAATGATTGCCCTGACAACCATTTTCCAGAAGTACCTCCGAGAATACGCCTGGAAAATCCTCTCTGGCAACCTGCCCAAGTGAGTCCCTCTCTGCATAGTCAGAACAATAAAGTGAGATTTGGAATATTCCTAAATATGGGAATCTTTAAGGAAATCCATTCTGTAGTTGTTTACTGAACTGCCAAGAGCAGTAAGGCAGAAAACACTCTTACTGAGTCCCCAAGGATCTGATGCTGTTTCCTTTCTGATGACATTCCACAGCTGATCAAGACCATTAGCAGAGATGCCCCCCTGGCTGCCAGTGTAGGTTACATCATACCATGGTGGACTCTAGGGAGTCAGTCCTATTATGTATAAGTATTTAACTTACATAGATTCAACAATAGCTACTCCCCCCACCAAAAAAAAAATGAGGTATGGAAATAACTATTCAATAACATAGGTAATTATTTTCAAGCCTCATTCAGTGTGATTATATCCTACAGTGATAGATGGAAGCATGCATCCAGTTTTTCCCTGTCTTGATTAGGTTCCCAAAATCTCTCTTGTTTGTATATCTTGCTATGCTGGATGTCTGATGTTTAAAGATGTGGTAGGATTTGTGAGGAGGGGGATTACACAGTACAGCTCCTGATTACAGTGACCCCACTATATTCTGAGACTTTAAAAGATTGTTATATTGTTTGTTACTTAAAACATGTGGATCATTGAACTACCATTTTAGAGATGTTTTGATTATGTACTCATTTCTACTGCAACATGATCTAATATAATGCTTCTGAACTTAGTATTTACAAACTATCCCCATGGGTAAATCAACAATTTGAGAATTAGTTTCTATCATTGTTACTCAAATGTGTCACAAATGAGAGTTTTACATTATTTGGAAGAAAGAGAATAGAATCCTGTGCTACACAGGATATTTTAAGTGTTGAGTATAGTTTAGTAATGAGAAGGTTTTTGTCTTTATCTGTGACAAAAATTATTTGTAAAATTTAATAACTTTTGTCCTGATTATCAAGATAATACAAGTTCATTATAGCATAGAAAGCACAGAAAAGCACAAGAAAGAAAATGAAAATCACCTATAATCTCATCACTCAAAGAAACACTGTTTGACTTTTTGTATATTTTTTCCATTCTTTATTCATGTGTGTGTGTGTGTGTGTGTGTGTGTGTATATATAAATATGTGTGAGATGTGTGCTTTGGTTTGTTAGTGTAATAGAATTGGGACTCTGTCACTGATAGTCTTATACCCTGCAGCTTTCACTTAATATCCTGTGAGCATGTTCCCATATGTCTTAGTCAGTGTCCTAGCAAGAAACAAATGGTACACTCAGCTGGAATTTTGTTAGTTTATAAAGACACACTGTTCACAGAAATGGGGCAGGGCAAAAAGAACCAGCAGAGGATTCTGAAAGATCCACATAAGAGTGGGTAATTATTGTTACCTTAGATCTTATATGGACGAGGGACTGCCCCTCAAAAACTGTAATCACAGAGGATGGGAGCTGCCTTTTGATCTCTTGAGTAAGGGCTTCAGGAAGGAACAGTGTCTTATTCACTTTTGTACTCCTCCCTCTACACAACTTTTATTAAATTCCAGTGCAGAATTTTCTTAGTTGAAACAGTTGGGTAGCAACTTTTGTGCTATCAATGATTCCAAATGAGTTCTATGAATTAGGAAATTCAAAGCTAAAGTGATAGGCAGCCCAGCAAGTGTCAGCTTGTCATAGTTAATACGACTGATTACTGACTCACTCTTGGCATTGTCTCTTCCTACTCCTAATGGTGCAGAGTGTCTAAACAGATGATAGTCAAGGTAAGGTCAGTAGGAAAAGGACTCATTAGATGTGGATTTGTTTGGGCCACAGCCAGCCTTTCTTTCCCGTTTTTTTCTTTGTCTTAAAATGTGTAGTTTCCATTCAAGAAACAAATTAGAAGTTCAAACCTGACTAGTGTCTGTTCCCTTTCTTCAGAACCACAACCAGCAGTGGAGGGTTGACCATCAGCAGCCTTCTCAAGGAAAAGGAGGGCTCAGAAGTGGCCAAGTTCACTCTCGAGGAGCTCTGCCTCATCTGCAGCATACTGAGCACAGCAGAATACTGTTTGGCCACCACCCAGCAGGTGAGCCAACCATCCTTGCTGCCCATGTACCACCTCCTTTTTCTGGACTCCCTGGACTCATAGCTGAGAATGAAGAGCATGAGCCCCAAAAGGTCGCATTCAATCTTGGGTAGAGCAGTTGGCCTCCCACAGGGGAAAACTTACTATCCAGCCAGGAGACTGCTGAGAGAGCCATCTTACAGAAAGGCCTTGTTAAAAGGAGACTGTGCAAGAAAGTATGACTGGTCTTCCTTAAGTAGTATGAGCCACTCAGCAAGCATGAACTCTTAAAAGTAGGTCAGTAGCACTGTCTCCCATATGAGAAAAACAGTAACAAACTTAATGGTACTGGGCCCCACATTTGGTGGCAATGAGTCACAACCAGTTATTCCATTCTCAGAAGCTTTATTAAACTAAGTGAACTCCCTTGGGCTTTTGAGAGTCTCCTGAAGTTTACATAGCATTCTGCATCTGCTAAAACAAAAAACCATTGTTTGGATGCTGACGTTCAGGAACTGTGAAGCAGGAAGGGGTGATGCCTCTGCTGGAACCCCCCAAGTGGCAGAAGTTCAGCAAACTGATTTTGCAGAAGACCCAGAGAAAATTTCCATTCAGTCTTAGACATGGGATGATTAGAAGTTATTTTTTTCATTTATTCTTGGAGCCACCTAAGTCTAAAAGAAAGAAAATAATATGGAAAGGTTCTGCTCTTCCATTCTTGTGTATATCATTTACTCATGTCTAGATCATGGGAAGATAGTCATAGATGATAGTTCAGACATTACAGCTAAATGTTATGTGATCCAGGGCACAGAAGGCCAAATAGGAAATGTTTCTATGAGGTCTGCAGAGTTGAAGTCAGCCAGCCAGCAGTAGAGGCAGAGGCAGTAACATATTCTGCTTGGAGAATGGTCACATTGAGTTGCATAGAAATGACCTGCAAAAGTTTGGTCTTGAAGCCAGAGTCAGCAATACATTTAGTGCCCAGGACCCCAGAGCAGGATGTCAGTATCTACCAGGACCTCCAAGGGAGGGGTCCCAGAGTTTTGATGAAGAAACACTATTTAAGTATTTTGCATATGTGCAAAAGAGAAAGCCTACACATACAGAATGACATTATTTTTAAAATAAAATAACCAAGCTGAGTACAATGGTGTATGCCTATAATCCCAGTTCCTCTGGAGGCTGAGGCAGGAGGATAAGTGTTTGAGACTAGCCTTGACAACTTAGTGAAATCCTGCTTCAAAATAAAAAACAAAAAGGGCTATACATCACTGGCTCAGGGTGTGCTCACTGGTAAAGCACCTTTGGGTTCAATCCTCAGTTAAAAAAAAAAAAAAAGATAAAATCACCATAATAAAAAAGAAAAAACATAGTAAAAATTATTACTTATAGTCCCATACCCTCAAATAATCATATCAGCAACTTGGGTTATTTTCTTTCAATCATTTTTATAAACAGTTTTGTATATTATAATCTTAATTCAGTTTTTACATTCTTTTATTGTTGCTGTCATAGCATTAGCATTTGTCTTGTTACTAAAATATCTTTGTTACTAGCATCTTTTTATGGCTATATAACATTCCATTAAGGGGCTATATCATAAATTATTTAACAGTATCCTTAATAATTGTTTTTACTACATCAAATTATAAATAATCCTAAGAATATCTTTTAGAATACAGTATTTTAAATGTTTCACATTATTTTTCTAGAATAATTTTCAAAATTCTAGAAGTATTAGTAGATCAGAGACCATTTTGATGACTCATGTGTAGCTTTTTTTTATAATTTAGTGAAAATTGATTATACTGTTTACAAAAATAAATATATTCTTAGCTGCCTGGATCTCTAAATACCATTTTCCACTAAAAGAAATGAGAGATTTATGGATAAATGACTAATTCCATGTCTGGAGCAAGAAATGTGTAAGATGAGCAGATGAACCTGAGATAGCATGTCATTAAGAAAAAAGCAGGAAGTTGAGTCTGGTGGTGCTTGCCTGTAATCCCAACAGTTTGGGAGTCTGAGGCAGGAGGATTGCAAGTTCAAAGCCAGCCTTGGCAGTTTTTTGAGGCTTTAAGCAACTCTGTCTCAAAATTAAAAAGTAAAAAAAAGGGCTCAGTGGTTAAGAGCCCCTGGGTTCAATCCCTGGTATGAAAAAAAAAATAAAAGGCAGGAGAAGTATCAAGAACTAGTATTAAAAGTCCTAACCTCTCCCTTACCTAGAAATGTGGTCTTATTTGGAAATTATGGTCTTTGCAAATGTAATTAAGTACCTCAAGATGAGATCATCTTGGATTTAGGGTAGGCCTAATGTCCATAATGTGGGAAAATGGGTATGTGGTATATGGGAACTCTCTGAACTATTTTTCCAATTGTTCTATAAATCTAAAACTATCCTAAAAAGGATAATTTATTTATTTATTTATTTATATTTTTTTAAAGAGAGAGAGAAAGAGAGAATTTTTATATATACATATTTAGTTTTCAACGGACACAACATCTTTCTTTGTATGTGGTGCTGAGGATCGAACCTGGGCCACATGCATGCCAGGCGAGCTCGATACCGCTTGAGCCACATCCCCAGTCCAGGATAATTTATTTTTAAAAATAGTACTTACAATAGCCACTTAAAATATCAGATACCTAGGGAATATAGCTTAGCACAGTTCCCTATCAAAATCCCAGGAGGCTGGGTTGTGGTTGTGGCTCAAGGGTAGAGCCTTGCCTACCACATGCAAGGCACTGGGTTCAATCTTAAGCACCACATAAAATAAAATAAATAAAATAAAGGTATTGTGCCCAACTACAACTAAATATATATATATATTTTTTTAAAGAATATATGTTTTTTTAAAAATTTCAGGAAGCTATTTTAAAGATATGGTCAATAAAAGTTTATAGAGAACTAGACAATATTGAAAAAGAAGAAAATAATTGGATGATATTATTATGTGATTTCAAGATTTACTATATATTGCTGTGGGTGTAGTTCAGGGGAATGGAGAATCCTTACCAAGTAAGTATGAGGCCCTTGGTTCAATCCTCAGCATCTAGCACCAAACTTACTACAAAGCTACAGTAATCAAGGCAGTGTCAGAGTGGTATAAGTATAGACAAATAAATTGGTGGAACAGAATGAGTTTAGAAATGGACCTACATGTATATGACCAAATGATTTTCTACAAAGGTGCTAAGTCAATTAAATAGAGAAAGGAAACTCTTTCTAAAAATCATGGCTATTCATGCATGCATCACCATGCCCATCTTGGTTTAGCAGATTTTAAATATGTACAACAGCCTGAACTCCTTCCTCATACCATGCACAAAACTTAATTCAAGATGGATAAGAGGGGCTGGGACTGTGGCTCAATGGTAGAGTACTTGCCTAGTACATGTGAGTCACTGGGTTCGATCCTCAGCACCACATATAAATAAATAAGTTAAATAAAGGTATTGTCCATCTACAACTAAAAAATATATTAAAAAGAAAAGATGGATCATAGATCAGGTCAATGGTGCATGTCTGTAATCTCAGCAATGCAGGAGACTGAGGGAGGAGGATCACAAGTTGGAAGCTAACCTGTACAACTGAGGGAGCTCCTGTCTCAAAATAAAAATAGAAAGAAAAAATTAAAAGTAAAACAAAATTAAAATAAAAAGGGCTAGGGAATGTATCTCAGTTGAGATTACCCTTGAGTTCAATTCCAAGAAACACACACACACACACACATCATAGACTTAAATGTAAAACTCAGAATCACAAAGCTTCTACAAGAAAAACAGGAAAAGATCTTCACAATCTTGGGTATACAAAGATTGCCTGGTCAGGATACTAACCAGAAAAGGGAATTTTTTTATACATTGGCCTTCATCAAAATTAAAATTTTCTGCTTATCAAAGGACTCCATTAAGAAAATAGATGAGCCACAGACTTGGAAAAATATAGGATACAGAAAGAGCACCTAATATCACCAATAAAAAGGCAAACAACCCATTTAAATGGGCAAAACATTTCACAAAAGAAGATATAGAAATGTAAAATAAGCAAAGAGAAAGTGTTCAGCATCATTAATTAGTAGGAAAGGGCAAAATAGCCATTAGAATGGCTAAAAGTCAAAAAGACAATGTCAAATATGGGCAACAAATGGAACAGCTGGAATTCTCATTATCAGAATATAAAATAATATGTATAGCCATTTGATTTTTTTCCTAAGGTCCCAGATTGAAAACTTACGGTCATGCACTATCACACCTTGCCTGCCATTCCTCAAACAAGTTCTTTTGGATACTAGTCAGTTGTGAACCTTTCACTCTCCAAAATACACACTGACAAAATCCCTAATCATCAGGTGCTCCACTATCCCATACACATGACTTAATGTGCTGGGGAAGAAAACATTGGCCACAGGGAGATATAGCCATTTTAGAAAACAGTTTGACAGTGTCTTATAAAGCATTATGACTCAGTGTTGCCATTCCCAGGTATTTACCCAATGTAAATGAAAACATAACCACAGAAAGATGCATACAGGGGTAGTTACAGTAGCTCAAAATTAGAAGCACTCCAAGTGTCTTTCAATAGATAAAGAGAACAGATGAACATATAATGGGCTATTACTCGACCATAAAATGGACGAGCTGCTAGTACACCCAACCATAGTTGATGACTTCAATACATATGTCAGACAAAAGCAGCTAACATCAGAGAGCGCATGCTATATGATTCTTATTAAGATTTATTCAGATATAGGCAAAACTCATCTGTGCTGATGGAAATAAGATTATGGAGGGGGGGAAGTGGGTATTGACTAGGAAGAGACAAACCATCATGAGGTAACTTTCTGGGGGAATGGAAGTGTCCTGTGTGTTGTTACTAAGGTGATTATAGAGGGGTATATGATTATCAGAATGTATCCAGTTAAACACAAAGATGTATGTATTTTTTATATTTTGACTATAATTCATTTTTAAAAGAGGCATATAAATCACTTGCCCCCTATGACCTTGATTAGATACTGATTCAAACAAGTTATTTTAAAATTTTTAAAACAATGAAAGAAATATGAACATAACTAGATATGTGGTGTATTTTTTTTGTCTTGTTTTGTTTGGGTGGTACTGGGTATTAAACCAATGGCAGGAGTGTTTTACCACTGAGCCACATCCCCAGTACTTTTTATTTTTCATATTGAGACAGGGTCTCACTAAGTTGCCAAAGTTAGCCTCAAACTTGCGATCCTCCTGCTCCTGCCTCAGCCTCCCAAGTCACTGGGATTACAGGTGCACACCACCACACGAGGTGATATTCAGTGTTTGATATTAAAGGAATTTTTTTTTTTTGCTGAGTCTTATCTTTCTTAGAGATACATATTGAAATATTTGCAGATACAGTGACAGAATACTTAAGATTTGCTTCAGAATAATTCAAGAAATGGGAGAGTAGGTAAGCATATCAACAAAACAAGACTGGCCATGTGATGACAATTTGGTGATGCTGGCTGATAGGTGCTTTGGTGCATTATCCTGTTCTGTGTTTTTTGTAAATGTTTGAAATATTCCCTATTAAACAGATCTTTAAAGCAATAAAAAGTTTCAAATATTATAAAATCATATACATAAGGATGAAATTTCCCCATAATCTCACCCCCTCAAAGCAACCACTGTTATCTATTTAACTAGTGTATATCCTTTTAAACATTTTTGTTGTATCTTTTTAAATAGAAATGAGGCCACACTCTACATTGCTATTCTACCACAAGGCAACATTGCTTTGTGTTTAAATCATGGACGTGTTTCCATATCAGTATTACCTCAGCTTTTTTTTTTTTAAACAATGGCATACAGTGTTTCATTCATTCTTTCATTCTTTATCTAGAGATACTTATTAAGCACTTATTATGTCCTAGGCACTACATCTGGTGTTTATTAAGGATGGTGAACAGGGTAGACAAGTTTCTTTCTTCCAGGGAACAGAAATAATTGGAGATGGGGTGTCCAATAAATAAATAAGCCAAGATTTAACTTCCATTGGTGTTAGGAAGAAAACAAATATTGCAGTGCTGGAGGAAGAGAGTTGCCTGAAAAGGAGGGTAGTCATGGAGGACTTCTCCCAGGAAGTGATATTTACAGGAGGAAACTGCCAAGGGAGAGCTTGGAAGAGTTGGGAAGTGAGAGTGTAGCAAAGCAATGGAGCTGGTTAGGAGACGCGAACAGGAAGCACTTCTGGGAGAAGTAGAAATGTGGAGTACAAAGGTCCTGAAGGAGAATCCCCAGTGTATGGGGCTGGGGTTGTGGCTCAGTGGTAGAGCGCTTGCATTGCACGTGAGAGACCCTGGGTTGATCCTCAGCACCACATAAAAATAAATAAACAAAATAAAGATATTGTGTCAATGTATAACTAAAAAAATATTTAAAAAAAGAATCCCCAGTGTGTCCTACAGACCTCAAAGGCCAGTGCTCTGGAGGCTAACAGGCAAGTCAGGGCCAGAGAGCTAGACGCGATGCAAATCATGGTTGGAAGGTTGAATTTTATTTTCAGTGTAATAGGAAGGGATATTGAAGATTTTAAGCATGATAAGCCTGTACCCTCATTTGTTTCATCAGCCCCTTGTATATGTAAATGTAAATGGTTTCCACATTTGCCAACCGTAGAATGTCAGTTTTACAAGAACAGGGTCTTACCTGTTTTGTTCACTGAATAACTCCCTTGCTCTGTTAGTCTGGCACAAAATAGGCTTTTGATAACTGTTGGTTGAGTTAATAAATTCTGCAAGGAGTACTTGCATATCTCTGTACATTATTTTCATTATTCCATTAAACTACATTTTTAAATGGGAAATTACCAGATTAGGGACTTCATGTATTTAAAGTTTTGCTTTTTAAATAAATGGCCTTTCAGAAAGATTATACTAGCTGGGTACAGTAGTGCACACCTGTAATCCCAGTGGCTAGGGAAGCTGAGGCAGGAGGATCACAAGTTTAAAGCCAGCCTCAGCAATTAAGCAAAGCTTTGCCTAAGCAACTTAAGTGAGACCCTGTCTCAAAATTAAAAATTAAAAAAAGGGCTTGGGATGTAGCTCAGTGGTTAATTACCCTTGGGTTCAAGCCCTGGTACCCACCCACCCACCCACCCCCCCAAAAAATTACACTAATTTACACATCTCCAGGAGGATTTTTTTAAATTTATCTAATATTTATTTATTTAGGTACTGGGAATTGAACCAGGGTATTTTACCACTGAGCTACATCCCCAGTTCTTTCAGGGCCTCCTTAACTTGCTGAGGCTGTCCTTGAACCTGTGATCCTCCTGCCTCATTCTCCTGAGCCAATGAGATTATAGGCATGTGCCATTGTGCCTGGATTATAAGAACATTTTAAAATTTAACACAAGGGCTGGGGTTGTGGCTCAGTGGTAGAGCACTTGCCTAGCATCTGTGAGGCACCAGGTTCAATCCTCAGCACCCCATAAAAATAAATAAATTAAGGTATTTTGTCCCATCTACAACTAAAAAAAATTTCTTTTTAATTGAACACAAAACATTCATTCTTAGACTGGTAGGACTAGGATTGCTAGATGAATCAATTCCCAGGGATATTTACAGTTCCTGGTCAATCATTTTTTTCTTTGAGGCTGCAGAAGCATGTGTTTCTGTCTTAGGCCATAGGCTAACATGTTTCTTTGGTTTACCACTATGTCTCCAACATCTCAGCAAGCTGGTTGACTCATAGTAATGCTCAATAAATAATATAACTGATTAACTCATTTTACTACCACTCATCAGCAAAGGTTTCCAGTGTTGGTGGGCAAGTCTGAAGTTCTTGAGGCAGGGAATATCTTAAAAATCAGGGTCTTTTCAAGATTAACTATAAATGTTTGGTGTATCATAAGAAAAAGTACAACACTGGTTATGAAGAAGTTCATTTTCTGGCCCTACTGCTTACTGTCTGGGATAAGCTAATCTTAATTTCTCACCTGGAAGATGAAGATAATAATAGAATCTTCCTTACAGGGTTGAGAGAATTAAATATTCTCTCAATATTGAAAGTGTCTAGAATTGTACCTGATCCCTCAAACTTAGTAAACATTATTATTATTGTACTCCTTCAATAATCATTAAACATATTTCTGTTTCTCTTTTTCTAACAGTTAGAAGAAAAACTCAAAGAAAAAGTTGATGTAAGTCTGACTGAACGAATCAATCTCACGGGAGAAATGGACACATTCAGCACGTATGTACCTCACACAAGTTTGCTTGGGGCTTGTCCTTTCTCCTTCATGGGGCAGCATGTGTCAGGATGTTGGCTATAGTCACTTCAGAACCTAAAAGGTTTCCAGGGCCTTCTGCTGGATAGGGATTATTTCCATTTTGTTCTCCATTAGCCATCAAGAAGAAGCATTAAAATTGGCAGCTGCCTCCTGTTCTGCCTCCTCAGATGCAGTTGTTCTTTTAGCTAACTGTTCTTTATCATTGCACTGTCTAGAATAACCCAAGAGAAGAAATCCTCCCTTGGCTATCCCTATAGGAAGTTCTAGTTCTAGGCTTTCCCTCTTTTCCCTCTGTCGACACCTGCATCCTCCTGTGTTTTAGGGAGTTTTTATCTGTTTGTTTATTTTCTGGTTTTGAGACAAAGTTTTGGTATGTTGCCCAAGCCAGGCTCAAATCATCTTCTTCCTCAGCCTCCCCAGCACTCTGGGACATAAGCATGTACCACTGTGGGCATGGGCATGAGCCTTTATGCCTGACCATCTCTTTTGCTTTCTTATTTTGCAGTGCAGGGCTTCACACATGCTGGGCAATACTCTGAGCTACAACCCCAGACTGTGTTTTATATTACAAAGCATAAACTGCCAGCTTTTAGCCATCGGGAGGGGGGGGGGGGGGGGAGAGGGAGAGAGAGAGAGAGAGAGAGAGAGAGAGGGAGTGTGTGTGTGTGTGTGTGTGTGTGTGTGTGTGTGTGTTCGAGGGGGCCAAGGGTGGACTCTATCCAAGAAGTTCAAATAGCAAAACCTTCTTAGGATATTTCTCTCCTTGTTATGACTTTGCAATATTTTTGTTATTATCAGTTCCTGTTCCACTGCCTTTAACTAGAACAAGGATGGACCAAACTTTAGCTTTCACTCAACCATTTATTGAGGAAAAAAATCAAAATTCTCCTTTTTTCCCTGACCTTACAAGCTTTATAAAACAGTTACTCTTGGAAGAGAACTCAAAGAAGGTTTTGGAGATGACAGTTCAGGGGCCTACCTATAGAAGTGTAGGTCTTGACTGGGTGGGGACCCACCCAAATACGAGCAGTCTGAGAGTTTGCCTGTGTGTGTGTGTGTGTGTGTGTGTGTGTGTGTGTATGTGTATGTGTTGAAGACGGAGTTGAGAGTGGACTCCAAGAGTCCAAGCCAAGAACAGCTAACTGCTCCTTCATGGTCATTCATTAAAACTTTAGTTTGGGGAAATGAAAATAAATTTTACACAGGTGACTAAAATATTTGGAGGGGCCTGTGTCAGTCATTCAAACAGTGGTTTTTAAAAATATTGACCACAGTGATTTGATTTGCAGTGTCATCTCCAGCAGTATTCAGTTGCTGGTTCAGGATCTAGATGCAGCCTGCGATCCTGCCTTGACTGCCATGAGCAAGGTAAGGTTTTAAGAACTGGCTTATTACTAGACTTCCAAGAGTGACCAAGGTGGTTTCTGCTGGCCTTTGCCTGCAGCTCCTTTCAGACACTTCAGTGCTTAAAGTATCAGCAGAGAGGAAAATGGAAAGACCTCTCAGGTTCCCAAAAGTGCTCACTTCATCTTGTATCTTAGGCCATTGCTTGTCCTTTGAGGATGAGACAGGGAGCTGAAGTGCTTGGTGAGACAAAAATCAGTATTGTCTTTGATTAGCATCTGACTTGTGCTGAAAACCTTAATGTGGTCTCACCAGAATGGGTATTTTTTAAGTGCTTAAAGCAGTAACTTCTGACTTATTCTTCATTCTTGCCCACTAAGAGGGACTCTTTCTGAGCCCAGGTGCAAGATTATTCAATCCAACTGTGAACTCTTCATTTCCTAGTATCCTACTGATCTATCAGTCAGCCCTTGGTCCTCCTTTGGCACTTACCACATGCTATCTCATGTTCTTATTTTTGGCTTTTCTCTGTCAAAAGGCTGTATGTTCCTTAAGTGTATGGATTATGTCTTATACCATCCTTTGTCTCTCATATTGTCGAGTGTAGAAAACTCTCATGCTTCTTAAATAAATTAAAAGTAGGTCATTCTTTATTTATTTTAAGCCCAAATAATTATTCAACTATAACCTTGTAGAGCAGAGGTTGGCAAACTGTAGCCTGTAGGCCAAATCTGGTCTGCTACCTGTTTTAGTAAATGAAGTTTTATTGGAATATAGCCATACCATTCACTTATAAACTATATATGGCTGCTGTTGTACTACTACTATAGAATTGAGTAATTGCAATGGAGACCATAAAACCCACAAAGCTGAAATATTTACTATTAAGCCACTTGGTAAAAGTTTACCAATGCCTATTCTAGAATCACGGGCTCTTGTAGCATCTTTGCAAATTCTGAAGGAAGAACTTCCCTGGCTCATATTATCCTGTAGTTGTGGGAGAGAGCAATAGAAGGAACCCTGACTTTAGAGTCAGAAAAATCTAACTCTTCCAGTTTTTCCTTTGAGGCTCCTGAGTGAAAGACTTACCCTGTCTGGACCCGCTAACTGCTCTGTATGTGAAATGTGGCTGTCTGCCTCCTAGAGTTGTTGTAAGGATGAAATAAGAAGAGGGTGCCAGGCCTGGTGCCTGTTATATGGCAAGTGCTCAATAAGTGTTAGTTCCTTCTGTCTTATCAGAAGTAGTGGCCATGTCACAAGGTTCTGGAAGCAGACATTTGGCCTGAATCTGGCTTTGCAGTAATTATCAATATTTAACAGCCAAAAACGTTCACTGGAGAAAAGATGGCCTATTCAACAAATGGTTCTAGCAAAACTGAAAATCCAAATGTAGCAAAATGAAATTAAACCTCTGTCTCTCACCCTGCACAAAAATCAACTCAAAGTGGATCAAAGACTTAGGCACTAGAACAGAGACCCTGCACCTAATAGAAGAAAAAATAGGCCCAAACCTTCACCATGTCAGCCTAGGATCTGACTTCCTTAACAAGACTCCTAAGCACAAGAAGTAAAACAAGAATTAATAAATGGGATGGATTCAAATTAAAAAGCTTTTTCTCAGCAAAGGAAACAATTAGTAGAGTGAAGAGAGAGCCTACAGATTGGGAGAAAATCTTTATCACATGCACCTCGAAAAAGCATTAATCTCTAGGATCTATAAAGAACTCAAAAAACTTAACACCAAAAAACAAATAACTTAATCAATAAATGGGCTAAGGAACCGGACACTTCATAGAAGAAATACAATTGATCAACAAATATATAAAAAAATGTTCAACATCTCTAGCAATTAGAAAAATGCAAATCAAAACTGCTGTAAGATTTCATATGACTACTGTTAGAATGGCAATCATCAAGAATACAGGCTACAATAAATGTTGGCGAGGATGTGGTGAAAAAGATACGCTCATACGTTGCTGGTGGGACTGCAAATTGGTGCAACCACTATGGAAATTAGTATGGAGATTCCTCAGAAAATTGGGAATGGACCCACCATTTGACCTATCCCACTTTTTGGTTTATACCCAAAGGACTTAAAATCAGCATACTATAGTGATGCAGCCACATCATTGTTTATAACAGCTCAATTCACAATAGCTAGACTATGGAACCAACCTAGGTGTCCCTGAATAGATGAATAAATAAAGAAAATGTGGTATATATACTCGATGGAATATTACTCAGCTTTAAAGAAGAGTAAAATGATGGCATTTTCCAGTAAATGGTTGGAGTTGGAGAGTATCATGCTAAGCAAAATAAGCCAATCCCACAAAACCAAAGGCCAAATGTTTTCTCTAATATGTAGATACTAATTCACAATAAGGCGGGGGGGGGGGGCACTAGGGAAGAATAGCATTACCATAGATTAGATAGAGGGAAATGATGGGAGGGAAGAGGAGAGGATGTGGGAATAGGAAAGATAGTAGAATGAAACAGACATTATTACTGGATGTATATATGTGACTACATGATCAATATGATTCTGCAACATGTGCACTCAGAAAAATGAGAAATTATATCCCATCTATGTATGATATATCAGTGCATAAATGCATTCTACTGTCATGTATAACTAATTAAAACAAAATTTTTTTAAAAAAAATTAACAATAATAGAACTAAAAGCAAAACATGGTCTTTAGAAAAGTTTTAAAGAGTGGGGGCTTGGGTGATATCTCAGTGGTAGAGCGCTTCCCTGGCATGTGTGAGGCACTGGGTTTGATCCTCAGCATCATGAATAAATGAAAAGGTAAATTCTAGCTCTCTGTTAAAAAAAAAAAAAGGATGAAATGGGAAGTTGTGAAAAAGCTGATGTCACAAAGTTTCTATTTGAAAAGCTGATCCTTTCACCAATCAGATGCTGATAAGTATTTTCAGTATCCTCAGTGTTTACAAGTAGAGCACTTTGAGCAGGCAGATTGAGGCTAATCCATTTCCTTAAAGGAATATGGCTATGAGGATTCATTTTGTAGGTTCCAGTTATCCCCTGGCTGCTAGTATAGCTGCTGGTGAGTGGTCACTACATCCTGAATGAGATCTTTTCCAGCTGCCATCACTCCTGAACTGCCACACACTTCAGCCTGGAATGCAGCTGGTGGAAGAATTTTTACATTTACCAAAGGAAGAGTGTGTGTGTGGGGGTGTTGTTTGGGGTATTTTTGTAAAATAACACTTGGAGGGGTTTAACACTCCAGGTGTTGCTTATATGAACTGTCAGTTCATTAGGTGGATTTCCCTCCAGCTGCCTCCTACCCCACCATCCATTTCTTCCCCCAGACCCACACTGGCAAGTATTAACAGAGACCATACCTCCAGAACCTTTTGTTTATATCATAGAAAACCTCAGACTTGGGAACACAGCAGCTGCAAGGTCATTACCTTTTGTCTGATCTTCTGGAGTTGTAGCAAAATGAAATCCATGTGATGAAAATAAACACACCAAGTGGTCACAAATTGATTCAAAATACATACTCCATTATTTGTGCCTGCATCCTATTTCGTGTAGTTTCCTCTAGGATTTTTAAACACTTTTGTGACCATGATTATTTCTGTCTCTGATTTCATCATTCCTCTTTCACGTTGAACAGTTTAGCTTAGACTGTACCTAGCACAGTGCTGGGAGTTGCAAGGAAGTCAGGAAAGGCATAGACATTATTTCAAGGTGTATAGGTTCTGGTACGCAAGGAGTAATGCTTGTGTTGAGAGTAATGTCCAAAAAACTGCAGTACAAGGCCTGGTGGAATCAGTGCTGTAAGAAAAGTACAGAATTTCAAAAAGGGGAGAGTTTATACCCAGGTGGGTAAGCAAGAAAAGCCTTTGCAAGCAAGTGGCATTGGAATAAAAGAGGGCAAGGATTTGAATGAATTTGGTTAGGCAGGCATTCCAATAGAGTGGCCATGTGAATAATGGTTTGTGAAGTCAGGAAACTTAGTTTTATTAAAATTGCCAGTCTCATGAAACATCTTAGTAATTCCACAGAGTACTGTGTTCCTGGACCTGCGTGATCAAGGTTGGAAGCAATCTGCCCTCTAGGTGTGTGTACTCTGCTGGGGAGCAAACTCACAATGATGTAAATAGATGTGTTTTATAAGTAGTGAGAAAATGAGAGTGGGGCTTCAAAATGGAGTAGTCGCTAGATGATTCTGAGTTGATGAAAGAAGGCTTTCTTGACAAGATGGAATGAGTCCGGCAATGCAGTTAGGTCTTTGTCCTGAGAGGAGACCAAGGTATCCCATGGTCTCCTCCTTCACTGGCATATAGGGCTTTTTTATTTGTTCCGTCTCTACCTAGTTAGCTTTGTTTTTGCCCCTCCTCTCTGTGTTCCCTGTGCTCCCGTCTTGGAGTCATTCTCCCTTTACTGAAGGTGCATTGCTTTATTGTGGCATCCATCTTTTTTCTCATTCCATTCTTTCTGCCTAAAATTCTCTTCCCACTGTTATCTATCCAACAAGCATACTCTTTATGATGCAATTTTAATATCTTTCCCCTTGTTAAATTGAAATATAATTCACATAACACAGGACTCACTCCCTTTCAAGTATAAAATTTTAGTACATTTACAAAGTCAAGCAGCCTCTACCACTAATTCCAGAACATCTTCATCTCTCCAAGATGAAACCTTGTACTCAATACCAGTCACTCCCCACTCCCCTGACAACCATTAATCGACTTTGTCTCTATAGATTTGCCTATCTGAACATTTTTATGTAAATAGGATCATACAGTATGCAGCTTTTTGTGCTTGGCTTATTTCACTTTGCATAGTGTGGTATGTGACTTATCATGCATCAGTACTGCATTCCTTTTTTTTTTTTTTTTTTTTAAATGCTGGTGATTAAACCCAGGGCCCTGCACATGGTAAGCACACACTGTACCACCGTGCTACCGTAGTCCCTACTTCATTCCTTATTATGACTAAATAATATTCTACCATGTGAATATGCCACATTTTATTTGTTCATCAGT